TTTGCTGGTCTGGTAGCCAAGGGCCTGGGTCTGTTGTTGTTGTTGTTGTTTGAGTTGGAGTCTCACTCTGTCGCCCAGACTGGAGTGCAGTGGCTGCTCCCGGCCACCGCAGCCTCGACCTGCTGGGCTCCAGCGATCCTTCCGCCTCAGTCTTCCAAGTAGCCGGAATTACAGGCATACGCCACTACGCCTGACTGATTTTTTGATTTATTGTAGAGATGAGGTCTCGCTGCCCAGGTGGGTCTCCAACCCGCGGGCTCAGGCTATCCACTCACCTCAGCCTCCCAAAGGCGCGGGATGACAGGCTGAGCCACCGAGCCCAGCTTGTTGTTGTATTTTTAAGAGACAGGATCTTGCTCTGTCAGGCTGTAGTGCAGTGGCGTGATCATAGCTCACTATAACCTCGAACTCATGGGCTGAAATAAACCTTCCCCCTCAGCCTCCTGAGTAGTTAGGACTACAGGCAAGCACCACTATGCTTGGCTAATTTTTTGACTTTAAAATTTGTTCTAACTTTTTGTGTGTGGGGGGGGTCTTGCTATGTTGCCCAGGCTAATCTAAAGCTCCCGTTCGCAAGCATTCTTTTTGCCTCAGTCTCCCAAAGTGTCGGAATTACAGGCATGAGCCATTGTACTCAGCCAAAGGTTTGGGATTTTAGTGGCTCAACAGTATAGGAAAGGATGCCCTTGGACTTTCCCTAGTTGGAACTGACACTTTAGCAAAATGTCAAGACATATAAAGAGGTCTACCCTCAGGGAAAGGGGAGACTTGGAAAATATCTATGAGGCACATAAAACAAAAGCTTGTCTGTCTCAGCTCAGCTTCAGGCGGTCTCCTTTGAGAAATTGCAATCTCAGGTGTGCCTCTTGTTTCTGGTGAACATTAGAATTTATCCTACCCCCACAGTTCTGGAATCTTTTTTTTTTTTTAAGTTGGAGTCTCACTCCATCATCCAGGCTGGAGTGTAGTGGCACACTGACAGCCACCCCAGCATTGACCTGCTGGGTTCAGGCGATCCTTCCACCTCAGCCTTCCAAATAGCTGGAACTATAAGAACTACAGGTGCATGCCACCACGCCTGGCTAATTTTTTGATTTATTATAGAAATGAGGTCTCACCAAGTTGCCCAGGCTGTTCTCGAACCCATGGGCTCAGACAGTTCCCTCACCTCGACCTCCCAAAGTGCTGGAATTACAGGCTTAAGCCACTGTGCCCAGCTGGTTCTGGAATCTTTGAGACAAGAACTTAACATAATCATTGGTTTCAGGGTAATGATGCCTTGGCAAGCACCCAGGGGAAGGAACTGGGAATTCTCTCTGGATCCTGGGTCCTGCCCTCAACTAGGCTGAATAGGATTCCCACAGATGAAACCCCACTAAAGATGAGCTCACAACCAACAATTACCAGCCATACAGGGAAGCAGTGCACCATGAGAGAGTGTTATCACTCAGGCAGCAGAAATACCTCTCCAAAGTTTGAGATATAGAAAAACAGAATAGGCCAGGCTCCGTGGCTCAGCCTGTAATCCCAGCACTTTGGGAGGCTGAGGCGAGTGCATTGCCTGAGCCTGCAAGTTCGAGATCCACCTGGGCAACTTGGCGAGACCTCGTCTCTACAGTAAATAAAAAAAATTAACCAGGTATGGTAGCACGTGCCTTTAGTTCCAGCTACTTGGAAGGCTGAGGCGGAAGGATCGCTGGAGCCCAGCAGGCCGAGGCTGTCGTGACCAGGAGTGTGCCACTGCATTCCAGTCTGGGCATCAGAGTGAGACTCCAACTCAAAAAAAACCAAAAAACAACAACAAAAAAAAGAAAAACAGGATAATCGATCACTGTTTAAAATATTTTAAATTATTAGAGACATATAAGGTGCAATATAAAAGGAAAAACCCAAACATGAAAATAGAGCAAGGAGATAAGCAAAAGACCCAAACAAAGCTTTCAAGAGCATACATGTACTTGTTGAAATTAAAATTCATTGGAACTGGGCAAATCTGAATATGGCGTGGGTATTAGATTAGCAATTAAGGAATTACTTTTCAAGATGAAATATAGTATTTTTGTCATGTAAGAAGCATGTTCCTGATCTTTTTTTTTTTTTTTTTTTTTTTGAGTTGGAGTCTCACTCTGTTGCCCAGACTGGAGTGCAGTGGCCGCTCCCGGCCACCGCAGCCTTGACCTGCTGGGAACCGGCGATCCTTCCGCCTCAGCCTTCCAAGTAACTGGAACTACAGGCGCACGCTACCACGCCCAGCTGATTTTTAAAAATCTATTGTAGAGATGAGGTCTCGCTGCCCAGGCGGGTCTCGAACCCGCGGGCTCAGGCAATCCACTCACCTCAGCCTCCCAAAGGCGCAGGATTACAGGCTGAGCACCGAGCCCGGCATGTTCCTGATTTTTAGAAATGTGTATTGAAATATTTAGAGGTGAAATTGTATGACATCTGGGATTTCTTTGAAATATTTCAGCATAGATCAAAATAAATGGAGTAAATATGGTAAGTGTTAGTAATTGTCCAAATGAAATTTTGGGTAAATCTGATTCCTGGTACCTGTGGTTCTCAAACTCCAATGTGACACAGAGTCACCTGAAGGGCTTTTCAAAACACATAGTAGGCTGACAAAGAGTATATGAAAACTGTATAACAAGAAAACAAACAACCCAACTTAAAAAAATAGACAAAAGCTTCTGACAGACACACTTCACCAAAGAAGACAGAAGTGAATGGCAGGTAAGGAAGAACGTGCAACATTGTTGGTTTTTAGGCAGATGGCAGACCGAAACCACCACAAGCTACCCGTGCACGTCTACTGGCATGACTGAAATTGTCTTAAGAACCCAAGCTGATAATGCCAAGAGTGTTGTGAATGCAGAGCAACAGGAACTTTCCGACGCTGTTGGTGGGAGCGCAGAACAGCACAGCTGCTTGGAGAACGTCTGGCAGCGTCTGCCGAAGTTGGCCGCATCCTTTCCACACCCCAGCAATCCCGTTCCTGTATGAGATGCAAGTTTATGTTCAAACAAAACCCTGTATGCAAATATTTATTGCGGCTTGATTCTAAGTCACCAAAAGCAGAAACAACAGGAATGTCTTTTTTTTTTTTTTTTGAGTCAGAGTCTCCCTTTGACACCCAGGCTGGCACCATACCTTTGACACCCAGGCTGGCTAAGTTTTTGAATTTTTGCAGAGATGAGGTCTGACTTTGTTGTCCAGGCTGGTCTCAAATTCCTGGGCTGAATGATGCTCCTGCCTTGGCTTCCTGAAGTGCTGGGATTACAGGCATGAGCCACCATGCCTGGCCTGGAAATGTCTTTGAACAAGCAAATGGCACACCCATCAAAGGAACTCAAGTCAACAACAAAACGAAACAAGCTCTGATACCCACAGCAGCATGGAGGAATTGCAAGTTATAATGCCCAGTGTGAGAAGCTAGACTCAAAAGCCTGTACACCGTCCGGGTCCATTTACAGGGCCTTCCAGAGCAAGCAAAATACTAGAGACTGAAAACAGATCAGTGCTTGGGGGGAGGCTTGGGTTGGGGGGGTCTGACTTGGGGCACCATGGGAGAATTTGGGGGTAATGGAAGTGTTCTGAAACCCAGTTGTGGTGGTGAGGGGATATTCTCCAAAGCTCACAGAAATGCACACCAAAAAAGTACATTTTATTGCTCATAAATGTTACAAAGTGGAGAAATATGTAAGTTACACACATACAGATTTCTGCACCACATGCTCAGAGCGTTTACTCTCTTGGGGTCTAGGTGGAGCCTGAGAATTTACATTCCCCCTAAGTTCCCAGGAGCTGCTGGTCCAAGGACATTTGAGAACCTTTGGATCATACTGTTCTACTTTGTTTGAAATGTATGAAAGATTTTCTGACAACTTAAAAAAAAAACTCAAAAGACACATTTTATTGCATAATAGACACATTCCAGAGAGGCAAAGAGGTGGTCAGTGGGAGAGAAGGGTGGGTGAGGGTCAGGAGAATAAAATGGGAAGTCCAGAGTACATCTACAAAGCATTTCCAGAACAAGAGACGAGGGAAACGGTATTTGGGAAATAATAAGGGAGCGTTTTCTTGAATTAAAGCTGAAGGCAACAGACTTATCTCAGATTGCCCAGAATGTTTGAGACTATGGCTCATAGACTGTAAAGTGCAGTCCTCATGAGGAAACATTAATCAGGTCCACCTAAGATTGAGTTTGCTCTCATGCCTGTAATCCCAGCACTTTGGAAGGCTGAGGCAGGAAGAAGACCACTTGAGCCCAGGAGTTCAAGACTAGCCTGGGTAATATAGTGAGACCTCGTCAAAAAATAAATTTAAAAAATTTTAAAAATAAAAAAACTAGCCAGGTGTGGCGGCATGTGCCTATAGCCCTAGCTACTTGGGAGGCTGAGGTGGAAGGATCACCTGAGCCCAGGAGGTAGAGGCTGTGGAGAGCTGTAATCATACCACTGAACTCCAGCCTCAGTGACAGAGTGAGAGCTTCAACTAAAAAAAAAAAAGATCGAGTTTGCTGTGAGTCAGAGCTGTGTCACATGAGCTGTGGCGCCTGGGTGTGAGAGAGCTCCTTGTCTCAGCTCCTGTGTAAGAACCCAGCTCTGGGTGGTAGTCAGCAGAGCTGGGTTCTCTCCAGCTGTGTGGCCATGGGCACAAGTTGGCCCCCTCTGAGCCTTAGCTTCCTTCCCTGTAGAGTGGACAATATATATCCATCATAATACCATTCATGGGATATGGATGGTGAATGCCAGAATGGCTGTGAAGCTCTCAGTATACAGTAGGTGCTCAAAAAAAGTCATGCAACCCCGAGTACAAGGCCCCAGCCCTCCTTGGGAGAGGCTTCCACAAGGATTCTCCACCAGAGAGTCCAGGGGGAGCTGGCGGCAAGAGGGGACCCGTCTCACAGGCCATGTCTGTGGGGTGGGAAGCTACCATGAGGAGGGATTTGCTGGGATGAAGATGCAGTGGAACTCAGGGCCTTTTCTCTCTCTCGCCTGCAGATGACGGGCCTTACTCCAAAGGGGCCAAGGAGGCCACCGAGGCCGACGTGGCCCTGGCCTGCCGCAGACAGAGCATTCCAGGTAATGAGTCTTCCCCTAGCCGCCATGCTGGTGCGTGCCTGTCGTTCCAACTATTCGGGAGGCTGAAGTGGCAGGATCGCCTGAGTCCAGGAGGTCGAGGCTGTGGTGAACTGTGCCACTGCCCTCCAGGGTGGGCTACAGAGTGAGACCCCGACTCAAAACAAGTCAGTAAATAAGTGGAGATGCCCTCGCCCAGGGCAGTGCAGCAAAGTGTCGGCCGCACTTTCCTGGAGCTGGGCCAAGGGTTGCCCCGGGCTCCCTGCTCAGCCTCGGCCATCTGTTGGCAGAGGAGTTCCGAGGGGTCACCGTGGTGGAGCTGATCAAGAAGGAAGGCAGCACCCTGGGCCTGACAATCTCAGGTGGCACCGACAAGGAGGGGAGGCCCAGGGTCTCCAACCTGAGACCTGGGGGGCTCGCGGCCAGGTGAGAAGTGGGCGTGGCCGGGCAGCGGGGGTGGGGGTGTGCAGAAGCAGCGGCAGGGCCTGGGGCCTGCGGAGAGTGTACCAGGGCCTCAGAGAAAGTCATTAGGCGGCCGTCCCCGGAGCACCCGGCAGCTTAGGGTCCGCAGAGGGCAGTCTGCTGCAGCGGTCATGCTGGGCCTGGCTTCTCTCTTCCCTCACGCCAGGGGCCGCTGTGGCCACAGCAGCCCACACTGGCCAGGCCTCTGTGTGTGCAGTTAGTTCCTCAGTCCCAAGGCCTGTGCCCAACGGCATCCTCCTAGTTACCCCTCCACTCTCAACACAGAGGTCACTGCCTCTGGGAAGCCCTCCCGGACCCCAGGCCGCGGGGCCACTCTGATTCTGCCCCCACGTGCACACACCACCCTGGTTCTCCCGTTGTTAGCCTCTGTGGCTCCCTGAGCCCGTGAGGCCTGGGAGTCTGCCTCTCCAGCGCTGCCTCCCCGGCTCGAATGAGGCGGGTGCTCATGGAGTCCAGCTGAACAGAGGGAAACCTGGCAGCAAGAAGCCGGGAAGAGCGTTAGGGAACAGCAAGGGATGTGATGCTCCAGCTGGCCCCTCTGCAGCCTCAGCCAAGGCCGGTGTTGTGAGGACGACGCCTGCCACAAGGAAAAGCAGGCAGCCCAGTGTAGGGGAGAGCCCCGGCGGAGCCAGCCTCTGTGCTCTCCTGCCCCCCGCGGTGTGGCCTCTCTGGTCCCAGCTCCCATTTGCCTATGAGGATCCAGAACCCCCAGGCTGCCCCGCGGGTGGGGGTGAGCGCCCGTGGCCACGTGTGCCCTGGCCTCCCTGTCTAGGAGCGACCTGCTCAACGTCGGCGACTACATCCGGTCGGTGAACGGCATCCACCTGGCCAGGCTCCGCCACGACGAGATCATCACCCTGCTCAGGAACGTGGGC